ATTCCGCTGCTTAGTTTATGATTATTGTGGTTTAGATTTATGAATAAGAGTTAGAAAAGTGGGTTGTTACAAATTGGTATCAGAGCGGTACGAACCGCGGGAGACTTAAGAAGTTTGACTCTTAGGATTAAGTATGAGAACTCTAAGTGGAAAACCTAGGAAAGACCGAATAGGAAATGATCTCTAAGTTGAAATCCTAAGTAGGATGAGATGAAAAGATGAACTTGAGTGAAATCCTAGGAAGGATAAGATTAGGGAAAGAACCCTAAGTAATGAATTAAGAAGAGAAAGCCTTGAGTTTAGTGGTTAAGTTTGAGAATAGGTGATAAGAAAGCTCTAAGTGTCAAATAGGGGCGCTGTGACACCCCAAAAATCCAAATTCAATTAATGGATTAATTGAGTAATTAATCCTATTTCAATTGAGGAATTAATTCCTAAAACCGTGAAATTTAATACTTGAGGACTAGTATTTGACTAGTCAATTCCAAAGGCAAAGTTGTACCTTGAGCTTTGAAGGGAGTTCCCTTGTTCCTTACACTTTCTAATGTTAGTAAGGGCACTCTTGACCTTTCACATGGTGTTAGTATTGTAACCTAACCTAGTAGACATCTTCATTCTATCCCTTACACTTTCTAAAACATTAGCTCTACCTTCTCTCTAAAAAGGTGAGTAGCTTTTCTTCCAAGCCAAGTTGAGGCCTTGCCAAGACTTCAAGAGTTGCTTCCAAGATTCAACCTTTCACCTATTTTGGCATCTAGGAGGGTAAGATCTAAGTTTATCTTGTGTTTTTGGTTTCATCTTAGGTGTCTTTTTCTTAAAGGTAGGATCTTTAGGATCTTTTGGTTTGATCTTGAAGTGGGTTTGGAAGGTGAGCCTTGTGAAGAGTTTGTTAAGGTGTAAAGTGAAGTCTTTTAGTCTACAAGAGGTAACCCATGCTCTACAAAATCTATTTTGCTTACCTATATGTGATTTCTTGGATTCTACTTGTGTTTTGCTATGAAATGTGAGTGTTTATGCATTGTCTTGTGAAAATGCATATCTAGAGCTTGTGTTTAGGGTTCATTTGTGCCATTGCTTGGCATTTCCTTTGATTCAAGTCATTTTGTTGTATTGGGTGGGATTTGGTATGTCTTGGACTTGAATTTGTGTTTGGAGATAAAATTTGCGAAAGGTGTTGATGTGGTACAGGTTGTACCCGCGGGCGGAACGGTGGGTAGGAGGCCCATCCGCCGCCCACCCGCGGGGAACAAGTTTTGGGAAGCCTGTACCCGCGGGCGGAACCGCGGGTAGAGGCCTACCCGTGGGCCTACCCGCGGGGAACACTGTGATGTTTGATGGGGATTTGTTCCCCGTGATTCTTTTGACACGGTATTTGGTCTTTTGACTTCCCGATGTTCTTTTGTGGAACTATTTGAGTGTCTTCTTGATGTTTCGTATGTCTAGAACTATGTGGTAGGTATCCATGTAGGTATTTGGTGTCGTGAATCGTGCTAAGTGTTCAACATTGTGATTCGTTAAACTGTGATGAGTCTTGTGTGTTCTTCGGAACTACTTTCGGTTTACCCGTTTGTTAAGCATGCTAGTTCGGTGTTTAAATGCTAGCGTGTGTGTTGTTTGTACCTTCCTATTGTTGATGATGACTCGTGTTAATCATCGTTGTTGTTGGACTGTGATCCATTCCTTGATTAAGTGTGTTTCATATCTTCGTTGTGATCCGTTGATTGATTCCTGTTGAGGTGTGATGCGTGTGTGGCTTTACCTGGATTGCACGATTAGTGGTGTGGGACACTAGTCGCCAAGGTATTGCAGCGGTCCTCGTGGTGGCCGTGACGTGATTATGGAGTTGTGACCTTTGTGTAAGGTTCACGTGATTCTTGGGTGGCATGTGTTGCCGTGTGTGTGATCGGTACCCTCGTGTACTATGAAATCGATGGTTCTGTTGGAGATCTGTTGGAGAGGGGACGACGGTCCTCGGAGGAATAAGGATGGACTTGGTGTACAGGGGTCCTGGAGGTAAAGGTTGGAACTAGATATAAGGTTGGGGGTAGCCATAAGGTTGGAACAGGGCATAAGGAAGGCATATCAACTCGTGATGAGTGATGTCACGAGGGCTTGTGTAGCCGTGGTTGTGTTCTCTTCTTGTGACGTGTGTAGTCGCAAAGGCATGTGGTGCCAATTGTCGTGTCTTTATTCTTGAGTTGTTGTTGTTGTCCTTTGTGGTCTTGGGATGTGTTCCCGTGTATCTTTGAGAGTGTTGAGTCTTATGTTGGTGTTCACTCTTGGCTTTACACTTATATATATGTATTCCGTTTCGAAATGATTTTGTGTATACATCCTATTTATGTATGATACTTAACATGTATTGGTGGGTTACCAGCATTATTCGCTGACCGAGCGTCGTCCCATGTTTATTTGTGTTCTTTCAGGTGATGTCTAGACGAGTGCGATGTCTAGTGCCCGATAGTATAGCTCCTTTCGTTTGTTTTACGGCCTGTGAGCCGATTTAGTTATAGACTTGTGAGATTTGGGACAGTTGTGAACCATGCAGATTTTGCCGTAGCGTTCATCTTTGTTGGTGAACGTGGCGTAACACCCCATGACTGGGATTTACATTTATCCAGTTATCTTTTAATCTTCCGCTGTGCTAGTGTTTAGTTGTGTTATCTGCATGTGTTAAGGCTTTTTATATAACTTGTTTTCGGGGGGGGGGGGGGGGGGGGGGGGGGGTGTTACAGGCGCGGTGAGGTCGTGAGTTTTCCTTGCCTTGTTGTTAATTGCTTATGTGATTTAGCTATGTGCTTGTTATGTTTTTTTTATCTGTTGTGAGCCAAGTAGAGAAGTAAAGTGAGAAGTTGAAAGAGAAAAACCACGAGTTTGAAAGTTAAAGCTTAGAAGAGAAGTTGTTCTTGTTAAGTTGTTAAAGTAGATGAGAAGAGATGCCTTTGTTTGTTTTGTGTGCATTGCTTGTTGTGAGCTTTGCCTTAGGGATAGGAAAGTTAGAGACAGTTAACTCTTAGGAGCTCTAACCTTGTTTCCTTTCTTTCGCATTGAAGGGTGGTGAAATGCCACCGAGACGGCTCTATGGGGATGAGTCACCTCCTGGTAGCAAGTGCACCCCTGGCTTATCAATTCAAGGGGGAGTTAAAAAGAAGAAGAACTAGTCGGGGCGAAGGAAGGAGATTTTCAAGAATCAGCACAACCAGCCACCCCATGGATTTACCGAAGAAGAAGGGGCACAAGGGAGAGTACTTACCACCCGATTGGATCCCGCCGTACCAGTAGAGCTAGTCACGGGGATGTTTCTGGTGAATCACGTACCCGCAGTAGTGCTTTTCGACTCTGGAGCTACCAACTCTTTCATATCCTCGGTGATGGTGGACGAGTTTGGATGGAAGCCTACCAGTCAAAGGGAGATGAGTATCCGGCTCGCCTCAGGAATATTGATTGATTGCAAAGACATCTTAGAAGGCTTGCCCGTGGAGATATCGGAAGTAACCTTTCCCGGGGACTTCATTAAAATAAAATTGGAGGGTATGAACATGATCTTAGGGATGGATTGGTTAGGCAAGCACAAGGCCAAGATCTTATGTCAGGAACACAAGGTGATAATGAGAGGACCGAAAGGGAAATACGTGTCATACAAAGGCAATCCGGAACCACCAGGAATGAGGGTGGTGTCCATGACTATGATGAGGAAGTATGTGGAAAAGGGGCATATAGTTTACCTATACACCCTCCAGGATGTGAACGCCAAAGACGAGAGCTTGGAAAAGATTGCTGTAGTAAGGGAATTCCCAAACGTATTTCCCGATGAGATTCCAGGACTACCCCCAGTAAGAGAAGTGGAGTTCTTAGTTGACTTGCAACCAAGCACCGCACCCATATCCAAGGTTCCTTACTGTATGGAACCCGCAGAAATGGCCGAACTCAAGGGACAGCTACAGGAACTGCTAGAGAAGGGTTACATCAGACTGAGTGTATCGCCTTGGGGAGCCCTTGTTCTATTTGTGAAAAAGAAAGATGGGAGTATGCGACTGTGTATAGTCTACCAGGAATTGAACCAAGTCACTGTAAAGAATAGGTACCCTTTACCGTGGATTGATGATTTATTTGATCAATTGAAGGGAGCGGGGGTCTTCTCCAAGATAGATTTGAGATCAGGGTACCATCAGTTGAGGGTAGCAGACAATGACATTCAGAAGACGGCTTTTCGTACGAGATACGGGCATTATGAGTTTACTGTGATGCCGTTTGGGTTGACTAATGCGCCAACTATTTTCATGGACTTAATGAATAGGGTATTCTGACCGTATCTGGACGAGTTTGTGGTAGTTTTCATTGATGATATCTTGATTTACTCAAAAGGGACGGACGACCACGAGAGACATTTGAGGATAGTACTACAGGTACTGAAGGACCACCAGTTGTACGCCAAGTTGTCAAAATGTGAATTTTGGAGGGACGATGTAGCTTTCTTGGGACATATGGTCACTAAAGCTGGAGTAACAGTAGACCCATCCAAGATTAAGGCAGTGATGGAATGGCCAGTACCTAAGTCAGTCACGGAGGTGCGGAGCTTCTTGGGTTTAGCAGGATACTATAGGAGATTTGTGCAGGATTTCTCGATTTTAGCTAAACCTCTTACTAGTCTCACTAAAAAGGCAGCCAAGTATCAGTGGACCGAGGAGTGTGAGATGGCGATTCAGGAACTCAAGCGAAGATTGACTTCTGCACCGGTTTTGACATTGCCGTCGGGCGAGGAAGGGTTCGAGGTTTACAGCGACGCGTCACATAAGGAACTTGATTGTGTATTGATGCAAAATGGGAAAGTGATAGCGTATGCATCGCGTCAGTTGAAGACACATGAGGTCAACTACCCTACCAACGGCTTAGAACTAGCTGCAGTGGTTTTTGCCCTAAAGATTTGGAGACATTATTTATAGGGGGTGAAATGCAAAATTTACACTAATCATAAAAGCTTAAAGTACACCTTCACCCAGAAAGAGTTGAACATGAGACAACGACGGTGACTAGAGTTGATTAAGGACTACGACTTGGAGATCCAGTATCATGAGGGGAAAGCAAATGTGGTAGCTGATGCTTTGAGTAGGAAGTCTAGTCACTCCTTGGGAGGTATTTGGGTTGTGCTAAATGAGTTGTGTAGGGAGTTTCAGCGGTTAAATTTGGAAATACGAAATAGTGGTGAAGTTAACCGAGAAGTGGCATTGTACACCTTAAGGATCACACCGAGCATCTTTGATGAGATAAGAGAAAATCAATCGGGGGATGTCAAGTTGGAAAGAATTAAGGCCAAGATGGTCGATGGGAAATGTGGGCCTTTCGAGGTAGATTCAGACGGGAGCATTAGGCACAAGGGACGTTGGTGCGTACCCATGAAATGCGAGGGGATTAAGATGCAAATCATGGAAGAGGGGCATTGTACCCCCTATTCAGTACACCCCGGTGGGGGCAAGTTGTATGGAGATCTTAAGAAGCATTTCTGGTGGCCAAAGATGAAGAGAGAGATAGCCGAGTTCGTGCAGCGATGTTTAAATTGTCAAAAAGTTAAAGCCGAACGGAACAGACCTAAAGGTTTAGTGCAATCCCTAGACATACCAGAAAAGAAGTGGGACTCTATCTCCATGGACTTCGTGTAACACCCCCAAAAACAAGGCCCAATTGAAGCCCTAACACATGCAGATTAACAACAAAACTAGCACAACGGAAGATAAACGGAAACTGGATAAAAGAAATCCAAAAAGGGGTGTTATGCCAGGTATACCACACTAGGTAACGCTAAGGCAACAATCTGCAAGTGTATAATACTATCCCAATACATCCGTCTAAAACAGTCGAAAAACATTGGCGCACAGGCCACAAAAACCACAGTCTAAAGGTGAAGGTACTAAGCTACCAGGCTCTAGACTTCGCGCTCGTCTAAACATCACCTGAAAGATACAAAGATAAACATTGGGACGACGCCCGGTCAGCGATAATGCTGGTAACCCACCAATACCGTTAAGTATCATACATAGGTAGATATAAGATATAAAAACCATTTTCGAAACGGAATACATAAGTATATAAGTTAAAAACCAAGATCAAAAGACAACACAAGACTCATCACTCACAAGGATAACACCGGGAACACATCCCAAACCACGAAGGTTAACCATACACAAGGATAAAGACTCACCCAACGGCAACACATGCCAAAACACCACAAGTCTCCGTGACTACACACGTCACGAGAGAAGATCACACAATGCCGGCTTTACAAGCCCTTGCAACATCACCCATCGCGAGTTGGTATGCCTTCCTTATGCCCTGTTCCAACCTTATGGCTACCCCCAACCTTGTACCTTCAAGCCAACCATTACCTCCAGGATCCCCTGTACAGCTAAGTCCAACCTTATTCCGCCGGGACCGTCGTCCCCCACCTATAACCACCAATGAACCACCACCAATCACGGCAACACATGCCCGGATAACACATGTTATCCCCCAATCACGTGGACCCATCATTCAGGCCACAACTCCATAATCACGTCACGGCCACCACGAGGACCGCTGCAATACCTTGGTGACTAGTGTCCCATACCACTAATCATGCAATCCAGGTAAAGCCACACACACCACAAGTCACACGAGTCAAACAACGGATTACAACGAAGGTATGACACACACTCAATCAAGGAACGGGTCACAACCCAATCAACAACAACGATGAATAACACAAGTTATCATCAACCAGACGGAAGGTACAAACCACACACACGCTAGTATTAAGACAACGAACTAGCATGCTTACCAACGGGGAAACTCAAGATAGTTCCGAGGAACACACAAGACACCTCTTGGTTCAACGAAACACAATGTTGAACACTTAGCACAAATCAAGACACCAAAGTCCTACATGGATACCTACCATATAGTTCTAGACCTACGAAACATCATGAAGACACTCAAATAGTTCCACAAAAAAACATCGGGAAGCCAAATGATCAAATACCGAGACAAACGAATCACGGAGAACAAATCCCATCACAACACCAACCATGTACCCGCGGGTAGACCCACGGGTAGTGCCCCACCCGTGGTTCCGCCCGCGGGAACATATTCCCACAGGCTATGTACCCGCGGGTGGTGCCCCGCCCGCCGTTCCACCCGCGGGAACACTCCTGTTCCACAACAAATCCCTTCGGGGATTTTCTTCTCCAAACACAAATTCAAGTCCAAAACATGCCAAATCTCACCCAATATAACAAAATGACTTGAACCATGGAAAATGCCAAGAAATGGCACAAAGGAACCCTAAACACAAGCTCTAGATATGCAATATCACAAGATAAATGCATAAACCCTCACATTTCATAGCAAAGAACAAGTAGAATCCAAGAAATCACATATAGGTAAGCAAAATAGGTTTTGTAGAGCATGGGTTACCTCTTGAAGACCAAAAGACTTCTCTTTACACCACAACAAGCTCTCCACTAGGCTCACTTCTCAAACCCACTTCAAGATCAAACCAAAAGATCATAAAGATCATACCTTTAAGAAAAAGACAACTAAGATGGAACCAAAAAGACAAGACAAGCTTAGATCTTACCCTCCTAGATGCCCAAATAGGTGAAAGGTTGAATCTTGGAAGCAAAACTTGGAATCTTGACAAGGGTCTCAACTTGGCTTGGAGAATAAGCTACACTTCTTTTCTAGAGAGAAGGTAGAGATATTTTCTAGGATTATAAGGAATGAAATGAAGAAGTCTTCTAGGTTTAGGTTTGAATACTAACTCTTGATGAAAAGACAAGGTTACCTTTACTAACTCTTAGAAAGTGTAAGGAACAAGGGAACTCCCTTCAAAGCACAAGGTACAACACAACTTAAAGATTGACTAGTCAAATACTAGTCTTTGAGTATTAAAAATCAGGATTTTAGGAATCAATTCCTCAAAAGAATTAGAATTAATTACTCAATTAATTCATGGATTGGAGTGTGGATTTTTGGGGTGTCACACTTCGTGGGAGGTTTACCTTTGACAAAGACTGGGAAGGATAAGATATGGGTAATTGTGGATCGGCTAACCAAAACAGCTCGATTTATACCCATGAAAGAGACGTGGACGATGGAACAATTGGCCAGAGCATACGTTGAGAAAGTGGTTAAGTACCATGGGATACCCCGAGACATAGTATCTGACAGGGACTCCCGTTTCTTATCCCAGTTTTGGAGGACATTGCAAGCTACTTTGGGTACTAAGCTTAAGTTGAGTACAGCCTTCCATCCAGAGACCGACGGGCAGACTGAGAGGACTATACAGACTCTGGAAGACATGCTTAGAGCTTGCATGATGGGTTTTCAGGGTTCGTGGGACGAACACCTGGACTTAATCGAGTTTTCCTATAACAACACTCACCATTCGAGCATCAAAATGGCACCGTATGAAGCTCTATATGGACCGAAGTGTAAGAGTCCTTTGTGTTAGGAAGACGCGGTCGAAGGAGTAGTGCTTGGACTCCAGTACTAACAGGAAACTAGGGAGAAGGTTAAGTTGATACGAGAAATATTGAAAGCGGCCCAAGATAAACAGAAGTCGTATGCTGATCAAGGGAGAAGGCCAGTCGAGTTCTAAGTGGGCGATAATGTAACACCCGCGATTTTACCAAAAATTTAAAACTTAAATGCAAGAGATAAACAATCTAATCATCCATAATAATTAAGCGGAAGCAAGTCTATACGGGGGCATTATGCCACATCTTACATACAAAAGATGCACATGCGGAAATACTAAACCATTCAACAGAGTATAAAGAGTCAAGGCGCACATGCCGCTCAAAAGGCTCACATGCCGCTCAAAAGGCTCACATGCCAACAACAAAATGTCTGGACAAGGTGACTAGGCTATCTATCGCTCCAAGTCTAACGCTCTCGGACATCTACTCAAAACCTGTAGAACAAGGAAAACAAAACATGGGGATGACACCCAGTCAGCGAATATTGCTGGTAACCCATCAATACGCGTTAAATAGAATATATAGATAAGTATAAGTCAAAACCATTTTTCAAAACGGAATACAATATTTATCATTTCAAAAGCCAAGAGACAAGTCAACTTCAAGGACTCATTCACACTCTCAAAAGGAAAAGGAAATCAACATCCTTATGACATTAACAAGACAAGAATCATGGAAGACAATACAACTCGAGATGCACTCCACTGATCACAAAGTAGAATACATCAAGGCATGCTCATTAGCAAAGAACACACACACACATTGGAAACTACATGCCACAGTGACAACTACATGTCACAAGTATCATAGTTCCACCCTTATACCCTGTTCCAACTTTATGGCTACCCCCGACCTTATTTCAGTTCCAACCATTACCTCCTAGTGCCACCCTGTACTTCTGAGTCCAACCTTATGCCTCCGAGAACCGTCGTCCCCCCTCTAACATCTCCTATTTACCGGCCAAACTCTCAGTACACGAGGGTACCATTAATTTCAATCACACAACCTCCAACATATGAGCCTTTGCTCAAGTAACAGACCACCAATTTCAATCATAATCACACAAGTCATCATCATTACCAAGAAGATTAAGGTTCAACAATAACCTTAATCAAGCATCAATCAAAGGGTACAACGATTACATACGTTCACATCATAGGAATCAATTAATGGATCTCAACAAAGATATGAACTCATACTCAACAATGAAGGAACACAATCCGACAACAAACGATGGTCAACACAAGTTGCCAATCTCAATAGGAAAGAACAAACCGCACACACTAGCATTTCAACATCAAACTAGCATGCTTATCAAACGGGTAAACCAAAAGTAGTTCCAAAGAACATCCAAGACTCACATTAGCCCAACGAATCACAAAGTTGGACCCTTAGCACGATTCAAGACACCAAATCTTACATGGATTCCCAACATACCATTCTAGACATACGAAACATCAAGAAGACTCACAAATAGCCCAATAAAATAACATCGAGAGGTCAAAACATCAATACCGAGTCAAAAGAATCACGGGGAACAAATCCCCGCCACAATCCATAACGTTCCCCGTGGGTGGGGCCACAGGTGAACCTCCACCCGGGGGTACAC